GCTGGCTTGCTTTATGAAGAGTTCCTTCCAAGGTTACCTTAAATATGTCAACCGATCATTAACAAATGACATGTCTGTCTTAAAGATTTTAAAAATCATACAAATCACAGTCACTTGTTGATGGGTTAATTTCCAAACATTAGAATCCCCAGGATAGCCAAGTCAAGGTGACAAGCCAGGGACACTTCGGTGACAGTTACCTACAGACAAGCAGAGCTTTAGAAACACTCTATATGTTGAGGAGAAGTACGAGGAGCTGCTTCTTGGAAGGACAAGATCAGGGGACACTGTTGAAGGCAAATTAATCAAAACTTAAGATTAGTAAACCATTTCAGTTCCTTTTGGACTCTGGCACATGTTCATACAGATGGCCTTCCCATTTCGCTGAGACTGAATCTAGAAGTCGTAAAAGATATGTAGATCAGAAACTGGAACCCTCTATTCCACAAGGACAGGCATTTGGTATATTTACGCAGCACTTTCTGCCAGGTGTCTTACAGACAGAAAAGTCTCTTCCAAAGGGCTGTCACTTACATAATTTGGAATCACTTTTCTTCCGTTGGTATCGCTATGGTCAGACATGAGTGGGAGAGTAAGCTGGTTGTGCTTTACTGTCTGTTTCTCAGTTTTCATGGTATCTATGCTCTCAAGAAAAAAGGGCCGAGTGTCTGTTTTCAGAGTGACTGAAAACAGACATGGGGTTCCCAGAGGAGAACTGTGGGGCCAGAAGAAAACATAGGCCCACAGTCAAAACAAATATATGTTTAGCATATATCATCAGAAAATGATCACTTTGCCCTGGTTATATGTTTAGACATTTTGGATAATTCAACCAATTTAAATTTTTTTTTATTTATCCCTTTTCAAAACAAATTTTATTTTCATGAAATCCCATATTTGGAATTTTAAGTAAATGGGGAAATATACTCATAAGTGAACCCATGCAGTTCAAACCTGTGTTGTTCAAGGGTCAACTGTACTGTGTAAACTGAGGCAAAATTACCAATGTAGAACAGTAATATACAGAGAGACTTAGGATATCTTATGGGCTGGATATGTAAATTAAGAACCTGCTTGAATCAACTGAGGTGACACATTGTTGCATAGAAAACAGTGGCTCAGAAGTCAGAGGTCTAATTTCCTGCTCTGTATGACCTCAGTCAAGTCATTTAAACTTCCTGTATCTCAGTAAACTTCTAGGAGGACCTTAAATTAGATGATTTCAAATCTTCCAAATCTATGATTTCCCTTTGCTTGTGAGTTTGAGTTTTCAAATTTAGGGTGAGCTATTTTTATACTGAGATACAAAATGCTACACTTTTTGTCTGAAAGTAGTCATGGATAAAAATCTTTAACAAATAACTCATATTAGTAAGAAGACAAAAGGTTTCACGCTACCTGATAATAATCCAAGTTTGAATTTAGCTTTAGATTTTGTTAAAAGTAGTTTTCCAACTATTGGGTCATTGGGAAAGTCATGACACATTTTTGCATTGAAAAACAGAAAAATATGTCATGACTTTCCCGAAGACCCAATACATCTCTACAGTTTATCTAATGAATTTTTATATTTTTCACCTCCCTGTTTAACCATCATTAAAATAAGAAAAATGACAACACACAAGAAACATCTTCCTCACACCAGAATTTCCAGTCAGTCGTTGTTATTGAAGTACAAAAAAGCCTGGTACACATACTGTTTTTACTGCTGAAATTTCAATATGACGCGCCCAAAGGTTGACAAAGTAAGGAACTGAGCTTACCTTCTGTTGAAGAAAGGGAATCCACTTGCAGTCTACCAGTTCCTGCCGATACTGTTTTGTAAAGGGTCCAACATAAGACACAAAGGCTGCTGCAAGGAGAACATCTCCACAGATGGTCTTCTCTTGAGCTTCAAAGGCTTTAATAGACTGGCCCCAGCGAATCTTCTCTGACTGAAAGATAAAATTACTCAGACGTAATTGGAGGGTAAGCATCCACTCAGCAAGCTTACTGTAATTACCTTAGAGCAGTAAAAGTCTATGTCCTGCATAGTCTTTAGATGGAACACAACATAACTGGTTGGCATGACTATTACAAATCTTTCATGTGTTTGAAACCCATCATTCTGAAGGAGCTCTCGTACTGTCTTCAGTGGAGTTTACTACAATATGACATTAGATCTTAAACATCTTCTCACTGGATGTCCTAACTCTTTCACTGTGATTGAGGTCCTTCTTGAAAGGCTGACGGTCACTCTCCTGTCCCTCTGGGAGTGAAGGACGAAAAGCGATGGCCAAGACTGAGTGATGTTAGGATTTTTAATGGCAGCTTGGCTGCTCACCACTCCTCATGCTTTTCAGCAATGTTACTACAGTGTCCTAGACATTTACATATGGGTTGTTGAAGAAGTTATGACACATTTTTGCTACGAAAAACAAAGAAATACGTCATGATTTCTCCGACAACTATATATATATATATATATATACACATACAGACAGACAGACACACACACACACACACACACACTGGCATACTGGCTATGGGCTTATTCTAGGAAAAGGAAAATGACAAACACCACTCATGTTAATTAATTAAAACATAAAGCTTAAAGAGCCACCTATTCAAGATTCTATTAATTAAAAAATATTGCTGGTAGTTACTAAACTCGGGTTGTTTTTCTAATAAAAGCACTCGATCGGTGGCAGAACCTAGTCCCTATGTAAAAGCATGGAAATCAGAAGGACTTCACTAGCCTTGAAGACAATACAATCAAAGAATGCAGTTGAAGTCCTTATATCTAGTTGAACGGCTGTTTAAAAATTGATTTCCAGGTTAAGTATGTGGAGCCTTTAATACTGGATTTGAATAAAAGTGCAATAAATACCTATGGCCTAAGCTGTAGGGTAGTTCACTAATTCACTTTGTTTCAATGCATGCTAAAAATCATTTGATCAGGTCCTAAAAAAAAATCTTCACTTTGATAGTACAAGCCAAGAATCCTGTGGAATTTAGCTTTTCTCATGAAAGAAGAGTGACCACAGAAAACAAAAGTGATGATATGTCCAAATAGATCAAAATCCCAGTTGCCTGCAAGTCATCATGACACCTCCAACACTGAGATCATGAAATTAGCAGGTGAAAATGGTTATCAAAGCTGTTTTAAGATAGTCTCCTTGCTTTGCTTGATAAAAATCACCCCAAGTTAGCTATATAATTAAACATTAAGGAACTTCAAATCGCTGCCCTCTTTATAGAACTCATTACTTTCCTTCCTCAGCTACAGACAATATATCCATTAATTTTGAAGAGAAATCTCTCATTTGCCTTCCCTCCATCATTGTTGTCTTTGGTTAGTAAATGATAAACAATAAAGTGCACCCACCTCATTCTCCAAAACAGCTTTGAAATTTGAAGATTTACTAAACATAGACTTATTGGCTATAGAAATCGTCAATAATTTCACTATACCACCCACGCAACATAAATCATTACTGACATTGGCTAACAAGGGTTTAAGAGTTGGAACATGTCCTGTAATAAATTTCTAGACAGTTAAAAATCACTATAATTTTATTCTAATGCATTATAGATTGCCTGTAATGTCATCCTGGCTGGGGTGACCCATTTCTAATTTTGAACAGCTGTTCAGCTCAGGAGTTAGTTAATGATTAAATATAAATTGCCTGATTTATTAGTCTGAATGGTTGAGCTTCCAGGTCAATGCTATATAGACAAAATCATCCGTCTTGATGCTTTTCAGAAGTTAACTGTGTCCTGTTCTAGTCAGAAAAAATTTATCCTCAAAGGAAAAGGTCTGACATCTTCAATTAATCCTTTAAACACACACACACACACACACACACACACACACACACACACACACACACTTTTGCTGGTGAACACTATTCAGTGTTTCTTCCTCTCCTCTAAATCATCTTAAGGAAAGCCTTTGGAAGACGTGGCTGTGTGTGGGAGACACATGGTAGAGCCTGTTTTCCCCTTCATAAAACTTTCATTCTGAAAATACTTCATGAAAACAGTCTAATTCAATGGTGCTTTTTCTTTTCCTCAGGTACTTCACAAGTAGTAAACACTTGAAACTGCTGAAATCTTACCCCTTTAAATGGGAGATGCTGTAAACTCCACCAGAAGTGGTGGAATTTCTCAAGTGACCTAAGAAAAACGGTCTTCAAAGGGCCCCCAATTTTTTTTTAACATAGGAGGCTCCCAAAACTCACTCATTCATTCAACAAATAACTATTGATGCCTGTGATGTGCCAGGGGCTATTCTAGAAGCTTGGGATCAAGCAGTGCAGAAAAAAGATGAAGTTCCTATTCTTGAGGAGCTTATATGTGTGTGTGTATGTATGTGTGTGTGTGTGTGTGTGTGTGTGTGTGTGTGTGTGTGTGTATGTATATGTATATGTCATGTGCTGCTAAATGCTATGAAAAAACAATAAAGCGGAGAAAGAGCTACCGAGCAGGACGTGCGGGTGTGTGCAGGGGGCACGCCCTTTCATGAAGGGAGAACAGAGAAAGCCATGTGATAAGGAAAAGTTTTAGCAGAGACCTGAAGGAAGTGAGGGAGCCAACGATGTCATTATTGGGGAAAATGTCAGCCACGTGGCGGAAAAAGGCAAAGGAATATAAGGTAGGAGAGTGACTGGCTGTATGAGGAAGAACAAGGACAGTGATGCATGAGGGTGAATGACCACCTGCTAAGGTTATAGAAGCAGAAATGTACAGAGAGATGAGGTGTCTGATCACTAATTACCTGAATCCACACTGATAATGGTCTACCCCTGGAATTTTTTGTAATATGTAAAAAATAAACTCCCATTGGTTTCAGTCACTGTCAACCAACTTTTCTGTCACCTTCAGCTAAATGCATTTCTAATAATGTAGTTAAATACTCTTATGTAGCACTTAAATAACAATAATAGCTTTGTTAAGATTTAATTCATAGATCATGAAATTCACCTTTTAAAGAACACAACTGAGTGGTTTTTCAGTATGTTCACAGACCTGTGCAATTATGCCCACTCTCTAATTTTAGAAATGTTTTTCCTACACAAAAGAGAAACTCTGTACAGATTAGTAGCCACTCCCATACTCCCGGTTCCTTGTCCGGCTTGGCAACCGCTCATCTACTTTGTGTCTCTACATATTTTCCCATTCTGGACATTTCATATACAAGGAACCATACAATATGCAGTCTTTTGTGTCTGTCTCTGTTCACTTAGCATGATACTTTCAAAGTTCATCCACGTTGTAGCATGTATCAGTACTTCAATCCTTTTTATGGCATAATAATATTCCATTGTGTGAGTATATTACACATGGGAGAAAAAATAAAATCGGTGACTTACTGAGGTCAAGGTTTATATGTTCTTCTATCACGAAAACAGGAGAAAGTTAAAAATTGTAAAAAAAAAAACTTTAATCTTTACATTTAATGGAGTAACTGTTAACATTAGCATGTCAGTTGCCTCTAAAAACATATCATAGGAGAAAAATAAATTCAGCAGGCTTAGCTTGAAGTGATGTTATGATGGTAGAGTTCAACTGTAAATGTATGTTAAAAGACGCAAACAACAGTTCAATACCACAGTTATCTAGCAGCAGTTCTGAGTGTATAACACACTAAAGAATACAGAGAATCTGTCACTTCTTACTTGGAGTAAGTTAGACCTATAGTATGAATGATGACTAAATATTCTCCTTTGTTGTTGATTCCATGTCTATTTAGCTACTATTGACAGCAAATAAAGATAAAATCCAAAAAAGCTGATATGACTATTTTAGTTAAAATTTTGGAAGAAAAGGTTAACTTGCCTCAAGTTCCTTGACAAGTCTGTTAGCTAGTTCAATGGTTTTGTTCGTTTGGTTCACCTCTTCTTGACACTGAACTTTCTTGGCTATTGCTTTTTCAAATGACGCTGTGAGTCTGCTCAGATTTCGATCCAGATCCTGAATAAGAGTCAAAATTAAGTTTTGAGCCATTTTCAGATAAAATAGAATTACTATAATCATCTTAAAACATCTATTATCTTAAGGTAAATGGAACAAACCTCTGTCCCTCCTTTGACCTCTGCCCCTGCAGCATACATGTTAGGGAAGGAGAGGATATAGTGATAATAAGTGCATCAGTGCCACCACAGACTGGCAGTTCCCCGTGCGGTCTTCTCGCTTTCCTTCTGCACTGGACAGAGGGCAGTCAGCGACTGGGGTACGTGGATGTACCCTGCAGACTCAAACACACTCTGGATATACTCTTTCCTCTCTCTCTTGTGCCTAAGCCTCATCATCTAGTAGCAGCTTTTTTAATGATAAAGGTCATTTTGGGGTTCTCTACCAACTCACTCTGCATTTCCCATTCGGTTCATTACTCAGACAATGAAGAGGGGTGTTAAAGATCGAGCCCCTTCAGACCTCAGCAACCTGACCCAGGTTGGCCAGAAGATCTTCTCTTCTGGAAACTTGGGATTGAAACTCAGAGGTACGTCATTATCCTTAGCATCAAAAGACCTGGAGAAATGTGTAAATTCTGGAAGACCTCATTTAGAGGAGAATCATCTTCCACCAAGGGCACAGGAAAGCAGGGGGAACCACTCCGGAGAAAGAGAAAGATGAAAGGGAAGCAAGATGAGAAGTCACGTGACCCTAGAGAGACAACAAAAGATGTTCATGGCAGCTTCTCATTTCCTGGACCGCTTTCCCCCTAAGACCTAGTCACACATTTTTTCTCAGAGTTCCGTGAGTTATCTTGGTCTCCTTTTCGACTTGAAGGTTTCTAAGTGGGTTTCTATTACTTATAACCAAAAAAGCCTTGACTAAGATATCAAATACTTGGGAGACTCCTTATTATAGCATCTTGCTACCTGCAAGTTCTAACAATGCTAAGTAAGAGTTATAACATTGCTTTTGTAAATGTGTGCCAAGTTCCAAGAGGCTTTAATAAGCACATGTGAGCTCTAGTATCAGAGCTTGTATTTGTATTTGAGTTTGTATTTGGACCAGCTAAGCAGCAGCATCAAGGTGGGCTGTTTACTTAACCTTGCTATGCCTAAGTTTCATCATCTGAAAAATGGAAATAATAATGTTACCCAATTCATAGGATTGGCCTAAATATACATAAAACTAAGGCATCAAATGACACATCAGTTCTTTTCTTAAAGTTGGGAAGGAGAGCTGGGTATTGAGAGACCAGTCTCTTGCATTTGTTTCTGTGCTTCTTGTGAAGAGGCATGACAGGTTTTGTTCTGGACTATCTTTCCCAAGATATGTGCATGGCGAATAGGCTTGGAAGATACAGACAGTGCTTCTCTTGAGGCAGAAGACAGATTTCTTTTTTGACCTGACTAATACAGATGTTTCCCTCTTGGGCAAAGGTTGGGTCTGTTTACTTGCAGCCCTCTTTATATTGGGGGTTTCCTAAGTTTGGGATTTCTCAGCAGTGACACAAACCCCTGTGTACAACATCAGCTGGTGCACTGTGCATCACTCCCACGGGAACCGAGGGACAAAGGAACTGATGGAAGCTTGAGGCCCATGCTGCATGCTGTGCTGTGAGTAATAAAGTCCTTTAGTCTCTGACCCATAAGTCTCATGTCTTCTGCCAGCATCTATACAACTGTTGCAGGATAACTTGTTAGCCTGCAAGTGAGGTAAAATGTTGGTCCCGTCACAGTTGTTGACAGGCCCTGGCCTCTCAGGTTCTAAAAGTAAATGGAGTGGAGAAGGAGAGAATTACCTAAAGGACCCCAGCCCACCAGATGCCTTAAACCACTGGTTCTCAAACTTGAGTGCTCAACAGAACCACCTGGAAGTCTTAATAAAACCCACGTTCCTGGGCTCCCCCTCCAGAGTTTCTCCTTCAGTAGGTCTAGGGTACGGTCTGAGAGTCTGCATTTCTAACAAGTTCCCAGGTGACACTAATGCTGCTGCTGGTCTAGGGAACACATTTCGAGACCATTGTCCTAAAGCAGCGGTTCTCAACCTTCCTAATGCCGCAACCCCTTAATACAGTTCCTCATGTTGCGGTGACTCCCAACCATAAAATTATTTTCGTTGCTACTCTATAACTGTAATTTTGCTACTGTTATGAATCGTAATGTAAATATCTTTTTGTTTTCCGATGGTCTTAGGTGACCCCTGTGAAAGGGTCGTTCGACCCCCAAAGGGGTCGCGACCCACAGGTTGAGAACCTCTGTTAGAGAGACTGGATCTGGATTTTCTTCCTGGCCATCCACAGACCCTGTATATGTGAGACACATGATGGCCTTTCTTCTATGCAGGCTCACTATTTAAAAAAAATTTTTTTTTCATTAAACCTTCACTATGAGGCCATCTTCTAGTCTGAAACTAGAGATAAAGATGTGAAAGAACAAATACATAGAGACTGACGCTCTATGAATGAATTTCCATCACAGCACAAATGCTGATATCAGACACATCCCTGCTTTCCTAGACAAGAAGGCAACAGGAGGCATATAAGATCAGGAGAAGGGGAAGCCCGGAAGAAGGAAGGAGAAATGAGAGGCTGGAGGAAACGGAGGCAAAGCTAGCAGAAATTGTCATTTCACTTGGGCTCAAACCTCGACTTGACCGTGTGCCAGCAGACAGAAGCTATGCAGAGGTATTTCGTGCTTGGCATGACCAGCCCGGGTGTCTTCACAGAGAATGGAACCTTGGTGGGAACTGCAGCCAGAGATGCTGTGGCATCGATATTATAACTACTCTGTGGAAATCCATTCTTGGCAGGGGGACTGAGGGACCCTGTTCTTCATAAAGCCATTTCGATTATTACACTGTCTTCTGTTTTCAAGCTTAGTTCTAAGGCTTACTGACATGTGAACGTCTGCTTACACTGTGGGTCTTTGAAACAATTGAACTGAACAATTCTTTTCAGCCAGTTGCAGGCTGTGTCCAAAAGGTTACTATATCTGCAATCACAAAAAAAATCTTAATTTGGGGTCACACACGGCTGTCTTGAGCATCCTCACCACTTTTTCTGTGAACACTAAATTGCTTCTAATATTTACATAAAGCCATTAACAATAGATGGCAACATGTTTCTAAAGGTTTTAGTCAAGTTGACAGTGAGAGTTTTGACAAATGAAGATAACTTTTATAAAATTAATATGTTTATCCTTAATTTGTCTTGAATCAGCTGTTGTTGGCTCGTTTTTCTTTCAACTATTACCAGGTATTTATTGAATAGTATGCTTGGTGCTGTACCTGGACTATGTACTGACAGGACAGAAAGGAGGGGGTGGTCAGGTCACCTGGGCAGAGAGAGATGGTCAGGAAGCTCTGTTAGAGGAAGCAGCTTTGAAAGATAAAGGGGTGTGAGTTACTGTGAGAGGTGGTGAAATTTTCTGTATCTTAAGGAGAAAGTTTTTGGGGGTTATTAACCATCTTATTAAAAGAACGATCAGAAAAGGATATCTTATAATTATTGAGTAGTAAAATAAGAGCACAATTTAATCCCTTCCTGGTATATTTGAGGAGTCAGGCCTGACTCTGCTCTGGAAAGATGAACTCACTCTTCCTTTTTCCAGGCCCTGCCCTGAAATCTAGGAGGCACTCTCTACTTGAAAATCCCGCTCTTTTTTGCCAAATTAACAAGGAGTGGCCCCAGACATAAGGAGGCCTAGTTCAAGTCCTGTTCTGTAAGAAGGTGGGCTTGGGTGCCTGGCCACTCTGAGCACCACAGTCCAGGCTGCTGTGGTTGCTGAGGTCACCTGATCAGGGACCCCGGGCTGGATCTACCGTGAGATGGGAGCATCCTCCCTGAGGTCCACCCTCAGCTGCCATTGTTCCGTATTCTTTACACTCCCACTGGACAGTCTCTCTACACACATGATCTTCATCGATTCCCCAATCTATGCTCCCGAGCCAGACTTCTCTCTCCAACTCCAGTTCTGACCCCTGAACGCCTACCATGTGTTTGCCACACAAAGAGTGGGAACAAACATTTATGAAGCATTGGCTGTGTACTGCGCAACAAACAGCATCTTGTTACACCAGGATTCATAGGCAGGAAGTCACAGATTTAAGCTAGTTCTAGCTGAAGGAAATTTCCTGGAAGGAAATGGGGGCGGGGGCTGTTAGGAGGGAAGGAACCACATACAGACACCCAGGAGCTGAGTGTTGGGAGCAGGTACTACTTGAAAGTCTCACCTGGACACTGTCCCTGGAATGCATGAACTCTGTTTTCAGTCTTTTTATTCTTCTGCTCATGATTCACGTTTTAGAGATGGGTGTGTGTGTGTGTGTGTGTGTGTGTGTGTGTGTGTGTGGTCAAGTTGGGAAAGCTTGGATAATGTATCTAGTCTTGAGCTAGAAGAGCAAAGGACACCCCTGGCGAAAGCCCTACGTGAGTGTATCCAACGAGGAAACATAATTCCCTAAATACAAATCTGGATTCTGGGTGGCCTAGGATCACAAATGCCTGCTTGACAGGTAGCTGTTACGATCTCCACTTCACAGATAAGAAACTCAGGCTCTGAGGGTGTCCCTAAGTTTCCAGGGTTACATAGCCGCCCCACTGACTGCACTACTCATGCTGCCTTGTCAGTCATCCCCAACTCCTCATCTCTGCTCCGTATTCCTCCCCCTCTCTCCACAGCCCACCAGCCAGCCCTGCATCCATTTCCCTGTCTCCATCATGGCTGCTCCGGCTTCCACTGAGGCCCTGACCGTGACTTCGAACTTGTCTTTCTGCCTCTAGATGCTTCTCTCCCTCAGGTTCCATTTAGCTGCTGAAAAGCTAATTTGATCATGCCATTACCTACTAAAATCTCTCAATATCCCTAGTCATATAAATTTAAATTCTGTAGCATAAAAGACAAAGAAGGCATTTGTTCATCTTTGCAAGTTCACCTTTCGTCACTTCCTCCTAGTCCTAACCTTCCCTAAAACACTCATCTTAGGGCTCTGGCCTACTAAGAGTCTTCAAGTGTACCAACTGCTTCGTCCCTGTTTTCTTTATTCTTTACCAGGAATACCCCTCCTGACCTGGTTATCCTGGTGACTTTTGAAGCCCGTGTCAAATAGACCTTCAGTTTGAAATTTTCTCTGATTTCTCCAGGCTCAGTACTTTTTTGGCGCTCCTGTTGCATTCTCTATATAATCACATATGAATATATACAGAGGGTGCCAAAAAAAAATGATATACATTTTAAGAAAGGAAAAAACTGTATTAAAATTGTAATATTCAATATATACCGATAACAAAAGATGAATACAAGTCATGCGTATACATTTTTTTGGCATCCCCGGTGCTTAGAACACTGGATTAGAATGACTGGTTATGTATTTGTAAAAATAGTAATGATGATAGTATTTGTGGCTAATATTCACTAAGCACTTAGCTATGTGCTGGGTACCATGCTAAATTCTTAATGTGAATTACTCTCATTTAATCCTCAGAATCCTAACTAGGAGTGGATGCTATTATAATACTTACTTCACAGATGAGAAAACGGAGGCTCACAGAGGCTCACTAACTTGTGCAGGGTGAAACAGTAAATAGTGGAGCCAGGATATAAACCCAGGCAGTCTGGCTCCAGCTTCCTTGCTCTTAGAATCACTGTGTGCTACACTCATCCTTCTACCACCAGACCATGAATGTTTCATATGTGCAGAAACCATGAAAGTTCCCACTTCTCCAGTGTCTAGCATACAGCAGATAAGGAATATCTACTAAAGAAGTATGTAAATGAAAACACTAATAAGATTGAATTCCTTTCTGTTTGGAAGGGCTCAGATGTGGCCCATCAGAAGGGGGATTCTAAGTGAGGAGGTACCATCTCTTGGGGATGTCTTCAGGGTTATGGTTTGTACTTACCTCAAGCTTTTTCCTGATAGCTTCTAGTTTTTCAGTAGCTGCAGCCAATTCTAAGTTTGCTTGGGCTAACGCTTGGCGTTTTGGCTCTACGTCACAGTAGACCTGAAAATCCATATGGGGTTTAAATTCATGAGGTAATAAAAAGGCAAAGAGGACAAGTAATCATTCAATCCTATATTTGCTGGAAGCTTTAGAATTAAAATCTCTAATTCACCTACCAATTGGTTGTTTATTCCTTAGCAATGGTGCTACCTAATGCCAGAGCAAAAATCTACGTACCCTTCCAAGTCCTCTCTGCTTGTCCCTTATTTACTCATTTATCCTGGACATTAAAGTTACAAATACTTGCATTAAATTCTATCTATGTCAAACACCATTAAGACACTAAAATCAGTTTGTCATAAAATTTGGATATAATCCTATCACTAGAAATTGCAGTGTGCAGGAACTGTGGTTAAAGCTGGGATCAAGTCTTGACTTCAAGACAGAAAAAGTAAGTGTGGAGGAATTCTCTGGACCCAGAAAGGAAAGTAAAGATATCCTCACACAATATTAACCACGATTTTCACTTTCTTTTCTAAGTTCCCTGGCCACCTTAAGGGTTTGAATGGGTGGTTTGAGAATTTAGGTGGATCAATTTGTTTCCTGTTGAGGAGAAAGGAAGGAGATTAAATTTTATTTCCTATTTTATAGCAAAACAACACAGAACACAGCCACAGTCTAGAGCACAGCGGTCAGGCATTTTATTATGGAGAGAGGCCATATATCAACGGCAATCTACATGGATACCTGTCTCTACACGGGTATCTACGAAAGAGAGAGAAAGGTCGTCAGGGCACTATTCCTGTGGGTCCCCAGTATCAAGAACACAGCCTAGTTTTATGAAAATCATCCTGGGAAGGATATTGACTACACTTGGCATTGACTATACTTGGCAATTCAAAGTAATTCTAGTTTTGAATTGAGCGTGCAACCTTACAAGACAAAAATGAGTTAAGAACAAGACATTGTTTCCTTTTTACGTCCAGTGTTCTGCACAGTTCTTGGAACATAGTTGGCAGACAATCAGAATTTGATAAATAAATAACTAAATGAAGTGATCATCTATCTTTATACTACCCAAAGGATAAACTTTAGATTAGACATATACAGGTAGAAATCTATTTGTAATTAAAACAATAAAGAAAAAAAAAGGTGATTTCATTCATCTCAGTAAGCCTACAATAATGGTGGTGTGAATTTTTCTTTGATTAAGTTTAATTAAACATTAATTCAGACTTGCATGTGTTCCAAATCAACATAAAATTAGTAGTTTAACATAAATAAATATAATTAATGTACGCAACAAGTTTTCATCTAATCAAATTAATTGCTGCTATTTGATCTAAAGTAGTTAATCATTCTCCCCTGCAAAAAGACAGTTTCCAACATTTCATTTCATGTAGCCTCCTGTATAGAATTTTGTATAATCTGACACTTTCATGTCTCATTCTTAAAACTTTCTCTTATCCAGATAATTAAATACCAAATTACTTTACATTTTTTGCTGGCCTAGAAATTAAGATATTTATGGGCCTTTGTGAATAACACCTGTAAAAACTCTAATTATGACTGATACCTCATAGAATTTAATGATGTTGATGACCCAGGCACAGAGACCAGCTGCTGCAAAAGATTTGGTCCGAATCAGGTTTGGATTGAACTCTGGGTCTTTCAAATACTGTTCATTCACCACTTTTAGACAGTTCTCTGGAATGTGCTCTTTGTCATAGTTAATTAATGCTTGCAAAAAATCATCAACCTGTAAAGCAAAAAGACTTATTGCAATGAACCCAGTTTAGCTGCAGAGAAAATTCCAAGATCAAAAGTTAAATTCAGCTTTTAGGACACACATTACAAAGGCAAAATTGGCAAGCTGCATTTATCCTACTGTTTGACTTTTTCAGGCTTTTAGAGTATGAAGTTAGAATTAGCAATGGACACTTTTAAAAATCTCTTCTATCCCAGGGTAAAATATTCAGTCCCTACACAGGAGGCATTCACATTTTGAAGAAAAGAAAGGCAGAAATGAAAAAGAAACACACATATCCCAAAACCCCTGTGCTTCACCTCCTGTACATTAGAAACATTTTTTCGGCATAAGAAATCCATGTAATTTTCTTCCTCCTACACTTTGCTGCTTTCATAATTTTGCAAATAATTAGCAACCTTCCAACTGCTGCTATAACCCCAAGCTAACCTCCAACTCGGCATATATTCTAATTTGCCAAACAAAAATTCTGTCTCAAGAACACACAGAACACTTAGTGAATATAAAGATAATTTCTTTTCACTTGAACACCTTTTGCTGTCAAGTATAACCACAGTACTGAAAACAGAAACTGGGATTTTCATCTTGCCAGGCTGTTGGATACCTTTCCCATGAAGACTTTAGCTGCTTTCCAACTTCGGTCTTTTGGCACTCTGCCCCGAGGAGCCAGAAGGACCATCACGGCTGCAGTAACATTGGTAACCGCATTGGGAGGGTTGGGAAAGGCTTTCAGCTCAGTGAGATTAACCTGAAGAAAAAGCACACAGACATTCAGGACCAGGGTCGGTCTGGAGAACAGCTGTGACCTTGGCAAGCTGGTCCTCAGGGGCCTCCTATCTGTCCTTTTCACACCAGTCTCAGTTGGGCAGTACTTTGCCTCCCACTAGGAATTCCACCTTGGGACCCCAAGAAGTTGTGTTTTCCGGGCACTTTTCTGATATTCTGGAAACATCATTGCTCCTTTTTGCCTCCAAGAAAAATCATCCATCTGGTATACCAGTCCCTCAGAGCCCTGCTCCCTGAGCCAGGAAATTTTAGAGACATATAGTTTTTAAGGTATTCATGGGTTCCATTCCACCTATATAACATATTTGTATTGTAACCAAGTCCTCCTAGAAACATAACCCCTTAGTTCAGTGTTTCTTAGTTGTGTTTTTCTGCTTTACATGCACAAGAAACAACTTCCATCACACTACCATGCCATTCCATTGGGACGAGGTGCATATAGGCTGAACCTACTTTCTGCACTACGCCTTAATCTTTTCATGTCAGAATCTTGATTTACCCAACAGATGGTATCAATAGTATAAATTACAAGTATCAGGACAAATACTTTAGGGCATTGGGATCTATAAGAAGTACATGTAAACCAATATAAAATAATATTGAATGCCAACTATAATTAAAAAAATATATATATATATATATATAAAATCATGGGATGTAAAGTACAGCACAGAGAAAATAGTCAATGGTATGGCAATAGCTATGTACGGAGGGGTAGTAGACTTGTTGGGGTTGTTTTGTGTACCTGAAACTTATTTAAAAAACAGAGTTCATGATATATGATTTAAAAAATAAGTACTTCCTGTAATATTTCATGAGCTGCATAATACACTCAGATCAATTGTTGAACATGATTCTGCTCTATTACCATAACTGCCTATTTATTTGGGAAATGATTGCAAAGAACAAAAAGGGTGTAAAAATAAGAGCAAAAGCAGACTTAAAATATGCCGATGATAACAGAGCTGGCTAACCAGGATTCTTCTGCATTTATAAATATCATCATATATATATATATATATATATATATGTATATGATCAGCTTTATATTTAAGTGACATTTATTTTGTCTGGGTAAATAATAATATATTCAGAGAAAAAGTTGCAAATGTATAGAAGCACAAAGAAGAAAACAAACATTCCGCTGCTCAGAAATAAAGAAAACATAAAATTCTATTACTCAGAGATAATCAGTTACGATTGTTGTTTATTTTTTCCATTCCATTTTCTATGCATGCATGTTCATATCAAAAAATGGTCACATAGGGGCCAGCTGAGTGGCTCGTTGGTTAAGAGTTGGCTTGGGAGTGTGAGCTCTGAGCAGCAGGGCCACCGGTTTGGATCCCATATGGGCCAGTGATGCTACGCCCTTTATGCTAAGATGGGAAACAACAGCTCGACCTGGAGCTGGGCTGCCGTGAGGCGACGGCGTAGGCTGCAGTGGGGCTGCAGTGGGCTGCCATAAGCTACAGTGAGTGGATGGCAGCCAGCGTGAGCTGCTGTGAGCTGCCATGAGTGGCCATCTAATGGCCTGTGACCAATCTGCCTAAGCCGGGAAGAGCACAATAATCATAGACTGAAGAACAAAAGGACAGCAAGTTGTCTGTTCCCCTTCCCCGATTCCCCAATGCTGTTCCCTTTCCCAATTCCCCTATAAAAAAGATCTTTAAAAAAAAAAAAAAAGGTCACATAATACACCCTATTTTAGAGTCTGCTTTATTCACTTAATATAAACATTTTCTCATGTTGCTAACTAGTATTCAACGATATCATTTTAATTGCAGCAGAGTATCTGAATGCATAATAATCAATCTTCGATCACGGTATACTTATGCTCTTTTATATTTTCCAGTTTTATTGTATTTTCAGTAAAACCATAAGAAATATCCATGTAGATAACTCTTTGCTCACTGTCAAAATTATTTTCTCCTAAAGAATACTTAGAAACAAGAGTTGTACATCTCTTTAAAGAACAGTGAAAAGTCTGGATCCTTTACTCTTTGAAGTCAACTCTTCAGAACTTCAGGCCTATTGATTCTCTGGGATTCTCCCCTAAGGCCTAGCAGAACCTGAGAACAAGACCAGCTGCTGGCTTTCCAAAGGACATCACCCACAATTCCATTGTTCCTTACACCCATCCCTCCTTCCAACCATCATAGATTATTTTCTCTTATGGGAATTTGAATACTCAATGAGGTTTTACTAATAACATGAATCAAGGAAAATGGCGTGGGCCAAACCTATGTAGCTTTGTTCCCACCAACTCTTCTTTTCATGAGTGTCTCTCATTATTGCTACTTCTTATATCCGAGGAAATACAGAATCCCCGAGTTAGTCTTTAAAGCAACACATAATAGGAACAACTGGATATGGGTCAAATCCAGTTGCTAACAACCCAATTGCCTTTCATGAGTGTATACATCCCACCGTGTGGGAAGTTTTCAAAAAGTGACTGCTCGTTGGGTGTGGTAGGACAGTGTCCTGGATGGGACAGGAAGCTGAACTATAATGACGAAGAGCCTCAAAGGTTTGTTTCACCTTTATTATTTTGTGGGTCTTTTAAAAACAAATAAATAAAAAACCCCTTTTGGTTGCATGGACTTTACTCTGAGTTCAGTTATTCAAACTCTAAAAACTTTAAATATCATTTTGAGGAATTCCCACGCTCCAAGTACCTATCTTACCCTGTTGAGTGTATTGAGTGCAGCTGTTGCAGCCACCAGTGCAGGCTCGGCCTTGAGTAAATCGGCCTCACACTCTTTCTGCTTCTGGGACACTTCAGTCTGAATGGCTGTCACCTAATCAGAGAGGAAAAGCACACAGATCCATGAACACAAATTATCATCTTAGCCATCTCTGTTGAAACATGTCGGCTGAGTCAGGTGCAGTGTTCAATAATTCATTTGTCCACATTTTGAATCCTGCGGATTTTGTCTGAAGACGAATTTCCCTTTAGGCACACGGTATATACAAAGCTTGGTACATGCACAAAACGCACAATGACAAATGCCAGTACAAATGGATTCAAGTATCAAAATGCTCCAAAAGGGCTTTGACGAATTTGACTTCAAGGTGCCACTAATAAGGTAGGCGAGATTAAGTGATTCCTCTGTTCTTCAATTTTTTTTTTAAACGATTTTTTTTTTGAAATTTTATTGGAGAACAGTGTGTTTTTCCAGGACCCATCAGCTCCAAGTCAAGTAGTTGTTTCAGTCTAGTTGTGGAGGGCACATCTCAGTGGCCCATGTGGGGATCGAACCGGCAACCTCGGTGTTATGAGCCTGCGCTCTAACCACCTGAGCTAACCGGCTGCCCCACTCCACTGTTAAAGGTCCAGTGTTAAAGAGGGTGCTGTATCAGCTTCGTGATATGAATATAGGGAAACAATGCTGGTAAACTTGAACCAATTCAAAGTGAGAAGCTTTGAAGTTTTTATCCTCCTCTTCTTAGGACACCTATAGAATTCGAATGACCAGGCAGAGTACATTTTCAGTCCTCAGCAGAAATTGGAATTTCAAAGCTATGGCGCTGGGCACCAGGATCCAGTCACCAGGGGGGATGGTTCTTGTGGTGATGGCGATTTATGGAATCTAAAGTCTGCACAAAAGTGCATTTCTTCAGATGTGTTGGAATGAACACGTTTAACTATATCATAAAATTAAACACCGCTCACGACAAATTATGTTGTCTACTACAGCTTTATTAGCAGTAATTACCCTTCTCCTCATTAACCATTATTTTGCTGTATACTGCACCTTTTATGAACATAATTGGCTCAGGGTAGATATGTGACCTCCTGCCAATACATACACAGCTACTGTGAATGTAAATAAGAAAACTCTGCATGCTTACTGAGAATGCTCCAAAACCACAGTCCTCAAAACTGCCAAGAATGGACCACAAAAAGTCTAAGAAGACTACATTTTTAGCGTGTAGAGAATTCTGATACAGACAAAAGAGAGGATATTTGGGTGAGTGACTTATTACCTCAGGTTGATGTATTTTCCATAAGGGTATAATGAGTCTGTAAATGCTGTTAGTTACTATTTATAATAGTATCACTTTAAATTAGACTCAGGAGCATAGGTTTTTAGTATTAGAAGTAACTAAGGAGTATTTCCTTAGGCGTTATTTCTATGAGACTGGGAGTTGCTATTCTCCTCCTTCTGACTTCTTTACTGTTCATGGAGTAGTATTCCTTTGGGTAATTTTTATAAGCAGGGCAATCTTGAATGTTATATAAATGAAAACCCACAAATGCAAATTAAAAAAATATTTTAGGTTGGTCACCTTATTTCTCATTCCCAATGCCTCTCACACTAAGATGCAACGGTACTAGAATAGTGAAGATGCTGAGTATCTTAGTGATTTGGGAAGCCTCAGTGTGCAATTTCCTCTGCCCCATGGCTCCTGGGTAGTGGTCAGCGACGCTCAGCCTGGAGAAGGCAGAGGAGCTACACAGGCTGCTTAGAGTGTGCTTTCCCTTTACACTACCCGCTAAAGCAGAGATGTGGAGATAGTCCCATTCTTGGGTACGCCAGAACTTTTCTGCCCTTTGTTAATCAAAAGCTCTCTGCAGATGGGTCGTGAAATTTAGTGGTGGTCACAGGGAGAGAATGGAGTCACCATAACTGCTTGTTATGAGACTGAATTGTTATTGTTCACCCAAAATTCATGTTAAAGCCCTAACCCCAGGACCTCAGAAGGTGATGTATATGGAGATAGGGCCTTTAAAAATGATTAAGTTAAAATGAGCCCATGGGGGTGGGCCCTATTCCAATCTGATTGGTGTCCTTACAACAGCAAGAAATATGGACACACATACAAGAGACGCCCAGGGGTGGGCGCACGGAGGAAAGAACATATGAGGACACAAGAAGAAGGTGGCACCTGTAAGCCAAGGAAAGAGGCCTCTCTCTCCTTGAGGAGAAGAAACCAAACCTTCCAATACCTTGAGCTTGGACTTCTATCCTCCAGAATTGTGAGAAAATACATTTCTGTTGTTTAAGCCTCCTGATCTGTGGTGTTGTGTTGTGAAAGCCCTAGCAAACTAATCAACTGCTTTCACCTGCCTCCAGACTAGAAGAAATTGCCGATGGTCCTTCAGAGTCCAGCCCTACCCACGTTTAGGAAAGAAACACATATGAAAACTGAAGATAATTCAAAATCAAGGAAGAGATTATATGAGCCCTGCAAGTTGGAAGGTACTTTCACTCATGAGGATTACAATCCACTCAATAACGTAAGCAGTTTGAAAGGGGTTAGAGGATCCTTAGAATTTGGAGCTGATAAGTCAAAGATGAAAGAACTAATTGTCTCAGGCTTAATGGTGCTTGTGTTACTTGAAGTGACAGCTGGCAATGCCAGTGGTTTGGATGGCCCTTGATTATTTTAAGAACTTGAAGCAACAATTTCAACCTGCTTCTCTACATGGGTTGTCAAGGGGCACAGCAAGGTAGTATTTAAACCCCAATATTTGTTTAGTCACATTAAATGTGGCAATATACTGTTATTAATTTTTAATGACTTCTGACATATTAAGCCTTGAGACCCCAATTTCATAGGATCACATAGAATCTAGCACATTGCTGAACATATGACAAATGTGAGCCCATAAAACATAAGTGGTGTTAATTCCTGGTCTCTATGTGGTGTAATTATAAAGAGACCTTCTTTCCATGACCACCCAATATTAAACAGTTCCCCCACCATTGAATCTATTTGATTTTCATCAGAGCACTTATCATTAAATTAAAATACCTTGTCTATCAACATGTCACATGTCCCTTGTCAGTCTTTTCCATTACAATGTAAGTTACATGAGGGCAAACTTGTATGTCACATATCCTCAAGAGACTAGACAGGTGCTCAGTTAATATTTGTTATTTTTAATTAAATTAAGCCTCATGGATAAAATGAAAATACGTGTAACGATCATTTTATTTCTTGGTATGGATTTGTTTGTTTCATGTTTGTGTTTGTTTCATGTTTGAAGAGCTTCACAAAACAACCTGTCAGATGAGTTTTAATTTGCTGAAACATTTTCACCCTCTTTGGGAGAGTAATTTTGCCTTAGGAATTCACATGTGAAAATGCGAAAATATCTCTATAGTACTTGTTGTATTTTAAGATCTTGAAAAGGTATCTGTAGAGAGGGGTTATGATATGTATAATGTGTGTGTAATGCCTGAAAAATATCCCCTGGGTGGAATTATTTTATGATAATTACACCATGCGTGACACCTAATTGCTTAATATAATAATATGCTCTTAAAGACATCTTCTACTTACCTGAAACTCAATGGAAACATTTATTACCAGAATTAGGAATCATATGCCAATTGGTCACGCCAAAGGTGCCTTACCTTCCACTTCAAAATACATCAGTTTTTCAAAATGTGTATTTAGAGTTTTGATTTTCAATATACTTGTCAAGTCTTTAGTTGTGCAAGCTAAGGGCAAACATGCTCAATACACATTAGAAAAAAAGAAAAACAACTCAATTGTCTATGAATGAATGGCAACACCACTGGAAAAACTCAAATATTTTCTGGTATTGTAAAATGCAAGGATAATGCCTGCTGATTCAATGGCTATGACAGTGTTAGCAATTTACAATTTTCTATTAACTAAGCCCTGATTATCATCTTTTGTCTAAAATTAGAGAGTTTACCTTACACATATACATTCATTCAATTTTTAAAATATTTATTAATCATTATGTTTACTGTGATATTTCTTTTGGGAAATAAGATGAAGGAAAACAAAAAAAATCCCTTCCATTTGAAGCTGAAGTTTTGGTAAAAGAAGAAGACCGAAGAAGTTCTATTTATTTCAGAACTGCTGGAAACCTGAGCACAAAGAAAGCAGGACGTATATCATCTTAAAAATAATTGTTTCCAACAATAAAACATAATACAGAATGCCAGGGCCTCAACTGAATCAAAAAGACCAAATTCACCTTAGGATTTAATAAGAAACTCAAGTTGTACTATTAAGATGCAAAATCTGAAAACCATCTTGCAAAGTGACGGAATGGACTTTGTTAACAATTGAGTTGTTCAATTTGCCTAAAAACTGAAAACCTTCAGAAACCTCCGAGGTGACTTCATGACCTTTACTGTATTACAAATAGGCCCAATGTGCAAGATCCACGTCCATTATATGCTTGAATGAGCTCAGTATTTATTGTTCTTTCATATCATTAAAAGAGCTGAAAGGTTGGGGAAAATGCATACTGTAAAGAAAGGTCAAGTGGTAATCATGGTGTGAAATGCTGTTACATGTGTAACTAGAATAATTCTTTACATTTTATGCTCCCCGGAGAGGAAGTTGCTCAAAACCGTTCCCTTACAAAGGTTTATTTTGTGCTAAATATAGACCAGCACTCTAAATGGCAGAATGAGCCTGACCTTTCGTTCCTCCGCATCCGCGATGGCCTTCTCCCTGCTCACTTTCTCTGTCTGAAGCCCGATCTTTGTGATCAGAGCTTCGGCATCGTGATTTCTCAGTTGCAACTCGGCTTCTTGAGACGCCAGCCTGGCTTTCAGATCTCCCACCTACAGGAAAAGTCATTATTTTGAAGTAATTTGTGTTGACAACAACAAATCTCAGATACAGCTTAGTTTTTAAAATCAATTCAAGGATCTCTAGCAGCTTGTTATTGTGCATCTGTTTCTACTCTGAGTTGACTTTAGTCCAATGTGCGAAAACACCACCCCCCCCCCAACTTTTTTGCCATATACAAATAAACAGAAAAATGTTTTCCTATGGTTTTGCAAAAAAAAATATCATTAATTTATGTCAGCACCAACGAGAGGGTCATCTTCTCAACTCAGTCTGCGCAGTCAGGGAAGCCCAAACAGCGGTCCTCATGGGAACCCAAGTTACCCGTAGCACACCCCCTGCTTTTTGGGTCCTGTGAAGCTCAGCCTCAATTCAGCAGAGGCCATGGGAAGACTGCTTCATGACAAGCTGGAAGAACCTTGCTTTCATTCTCCAACAGAAAACTGCTAGAGGCTTCAGAAGTTGAAGATATCAATACTCCTTGACTGTTATCAATTTACTTGATCAGTTGCTTATTTTGATCGAAATGCCTACACACAGGTCTTATCTCTCACAAAACAAGAAACGGCCCTCCTGATTTTTTTTACTTCATAGGGCGTTTGCCTTAATACCTAATACCTAATACCAAGAAGGGCAAAGCTAAGTGTCTTGTGGGGATCAGTAGGGTGTAGCCAGAGGCCCAGGGAGTGTCCCAGATATATTGGGTTGTAGGAAAAGTCATAACGCATTTTTGCAAGAAAAACATAGAAAAAAATATGTCATGACTTTTCTGACAACCCAGTCGATTCCTCCTAGGGTTGGAGGGGGCACTAAATAACTTCCCTCAGCTCTTTGGCACTCAGTCTTTCTGAGGCACCAACAAATTCATCTGCTCTAAAGAAGGATTCTGCCCACTTTTTAAGCTGGGATTTTGTGAGGTTCAGAAGGTATCCCTAGTTTGTGGATTGTGTAAATAAAAGCAGAAGTGAAAGGCTAGAGAGAAAAATGTGACTCGGCTCTCAGAAACACATGAAAGTACCTCTACACATCACGATAATTAACTCTTCATTCCACTTCTTTTCCAGAAGTACAAATATTACTATTTTTTTTTAAATGATAGAAGCAAAAAACTAACATAACCATTTATTTTGACTCAATGGTTAAAGGCACTTCAGTGGTTTCATCTTGTGGAACAACACCCCACCACCATATCCAAGGGCTCTGGTAAGCCCCATGTCAAGTCTATTTACACTTCACCTAAAAGGCACGGCCACCACAACTGTTACCTGTACTATTAAAGCTTCAGCTAAGACTGACTTTTTAGCCTGTCTGTGAACTCAGGGTAACACTGCATGGTGACATTTGCTTCTGTCTTCTTGTGAAACTGGTCGTATGTTAGGCCATAGTCAAAAGAATCATCCAAGACACTGGGAAGAAATGTATTTCCAGCCCTAATTTCAGTTTCTAAGGAAGCTGTTAGGTCTGAAATTGGCAAAGTGACTCAAGTCTTGGGTGGAAGGCCTTATCTATGAAGAAAGGTCACTACAGGTATCTCTGATGACCTAAGCTGACATCTAGAGAAGAGAGAGGTGGCTATAAAAAGGGTTTCCTCATAGGAAATTATGCTTCCTTTTCCTAACAAACCATTTTTTAAAAAGACTTCTAAGGAGCTATTAAATATTCTAATCACTCTTCTGATATTAAGAGCATTTCATACACAAATACCTAATAAAAAGAAATCACCAGTAGTCCTTCACTCAAGACTTTGTGAATCTAAAAGTAAAAAACAAAAAACAAAAACACCTTTGTGAATCTTTCTCTCAGACTTTCTGCCTCTTGCTTCTAGCTGAGGGGGAATAAGGAGACGCCAGGCAGCCTTGCACTTGGCAGAGAGTGAATTGCTAGTCCCTTTCTTTCTTCCCCTCCTCCAACCTCCTGACTCATCAACACATAATAGAGATGATTATTAGAAAACCACTCATCTTCTTCTAGCTCAACAGGACTCCTAGAAAAATCTTTCCTGGGGAAAAGGGTCTTGATTTAAGTGAGACAGAATTGGAGACACAGGTAGAGAAAGAAAAGGAAAGAGAAAGAGGGCAAGAAGAAACAGAGTAATGTAAAATCTGCACAAAAAGGAAGAATAAAGACATTCTTCGAAAGAGAATGAAAAGATGCACAAATATGGATACACTCTTTGGGGACTTCCCAGAAAATATTCTTTACATCACTCAATCCTGGAAACCTCTTCACTCTGGTATCTCTTTTCCCAATCGTGGTCTACCTACTCACTGCTCAGTAAATATCACTGCGTTTCACCAAAGAGCCATTCCTGGTGCATGAAACTTAGAGGGAAAGACGTAAAAGGTGCTTTGACCTACAGAGTGTGTAAAGGACAGGGCTGAGTGCCTTTCAGAGTGAAACATATATTTCCCCAAGCAGGTTGTGGCTTATTTTGAGCCTAGGTACAGGTGGTCCAGCCAGCTATGGGAGGAAAAACTGGCCCACTCTCTTGAAAAGTGAGAGTATGACCTGATGACGCTACTCTGAGGAAACCCACTGGAATTTCTGGCCTGGAGGTCACCCCCAGTGACAATGGATTTTTCCTCCAGCTCTACAGCCCAGGTGGCCCAGAGAAAGGAGGAGCCATTCTCCAAAGTCTCCATATTCTCTCATTGTAATTTCTTTTGACCAGACACAGAGAGGCAGCATGAGACCATGAACAGTCCATGGGCTTTCAGAGCAATAGAGATATGCGTTTGAGCCTTCATCTTCAAACCCCAACCTCACTGGCTCTGTGACCACAAACTCTCTAAGCCTCATGTACAAAATTAGAGCAGCAACACCTACTTCATAAACTTCTTTGGTGTTTAACAATCAAATTAGATGACAGGTGTACAGGCTGACACGAATTCTCTCCTGATTTACTCCTGGAGATTAGAGGAACTGTCCTTCAATGCAGTAGGGGCCATATGACCGAGGCTGATGGCAATAAACACTGGACACTTTTATCTAATAGAGATGGTGGCCAAAAGGAGACCAGATATCAAGGTCGGAGAAGACTGCTAGACTTAGGAACTCCAATCACAACAACCCTCATCACTTCTTCAACCAGGAAATGATGTCCTCACTGGGGGCTGAGCATCCAAGACCAAAGGGATCATAGTTCCATCCTTGGGTGACAATACGCTCAGAACACTGAAGCCATCGGAGACGAGAGAAAGGAATCAGCTGTGTGGGTTCCCTTCAACATCTCTACACGGCTTGATACAGAGTCAGGCCAACAGGTCTCTCTCCAAACCAGCTGTGACAGAGTAATTGGCTGATCCCTTTCTAGGCTTAAAAAAACAGAAATAGTGTGTTCTTTGTGACCTTAAACTGTAAAATTTTAGCACTAGGCACCTTATGTAAATGGGTTAAAATGTTGCTTCAAAAAAATTTTTTTTAATTCTAAGGTCACAGATTTCACTCAGTTATAATCTACCGTGGTCATACCTGAGAGGCCGTGGTTTGCAGCTTCTGGATGCCATTCATCAAGTGTTCCTTCTTCTG